GCCTCAGCCGAGCGAGCTGAATCATCACTTGCTATCCAATTTCCTTCTTCTTTTCTTGCATGAATGCGCAAATATGTCAAAGGTGTTTCACGATGATTAAATCGTGTTTAAGGACATCTTCCTCAACGAGCTAGCTTGTATCATCGGTTTAGGCCAAAATTTCCATCTAAAATAACCGATAGAATAACGTTATTTACCGCTTTCCGTGCGATGCTTGCTCATGCGGATACGTAGGTCACACGGGTCAGCGCAATGGGGCTCGCAAAGCTGAACATAAACTGGCCGGCCACCCAGGCGTCTCCTTGTCTCCGATTTGAACTGGGGTGCTGCGGGATTTGTCACTATGACCAATACCAAATATTCGCGAGAACTTTGGCAGTTAAAAGCAGAAAAATTAAACGATCGTATCGACCTATTGACCTTAAGTTTGCAAAAGTCAGAATTCCGATATAAGAATCACAGATTATGTTGTGCTCAGCGGAATGAGCTTATTTTTTTCGCTAGCGTTTCGGACAGCTGGGCCAACTGTCCTTTCTCAAGGCGTACACTAACTTTATCTATCAGCAATTTAAAGCTATGGCTGTACGTGTTGGTGACAGGCTGAGCGATTTTTATCCATTCGCTGCTTGGCTCTCCTTGTGGATTTTGACATAGCTTGACGGCAGTTACTGTTCCCTTTCGTCCCCACTGTAGAGGATGCTGGTAATCCTGCTCACTCTTCCGGTGGTCTCGTCACGGGGCCGTTTTTGTTTGCAAATCCTAAGTTTGGTTTTACCTGGTCCTATCTTTTACTCACGTAATGGCGTAGGACTTCGTAGGCTGCGGGAAGGTCCAGGTACCCGTTGACGGAGTTGACCTCTGAGTACCATGCCTCAAGTGTTTCTGCTTTTGAGGTTCCTCGGCCTACGGTGTTCGCTTCTTGAATATCTCAGTTGTGGCCAGTCTCTCTCATATGTGCTGCGAGCTGCGAGATTGGGCCTAGTCTCCGAGCCGCAAGTTTATGTTCGTGTAGGCGGGTCTACACATGAGTGTTTGTTCGCAGCCAACTTACATCAACAATGCCAACTGACTTCACATCTGACCGTCTGATCTCTCACTGAGACGTAATCCTATCGCGCGCGGTAAGCTTAGCTCGCACCCCCCCTCCCTCGTGGACTACTGGCAAACATGTTAAACAACAGCAGCTGTTTCATGCCCAGCCGATTGTCTGCTCACCGGACCATCATCTTCTCACCCCACTGAACTTGAAAAATACTCGTGCTCCCACCTCCGCCTTCGCCGCCCTACTCCTTATCCTCTCCCCGCCCCCTCAAACTCCACTGCGAGAGCCCCACGTTTCAAGTTTACTTCGTTCACCGACGAGGCGAAACTGCTAGCTGCCTCTACCCCCCCCATCGCCCTCCCTCCCTCCGTCAGGCACTGTGTCATATAATTCTTCACCTGCCTACGGTCCTTAGATTAATCTGCTTAATACACACACCCTGTAGTCGAAGTTCCCCGTTCAGCGTCTGGTAAGCTTGTGTTATAGTCTCGGTTGATCTTACCTGCGTCGCCACTCTTATAATCTTTTGTGTTCCTGTGTTAACACCGGTTATATCCCCCCAGTTAAGTGTTAGGAAGAGAAGGCAGAATAGGATAGCAGATAGTAATTTACTGTCAGTTCTACTAGTATATCAACTCTATTACCTTTGTGTCCAGCAGCTTGTCTTCTGTGTCCGTCAGCAGCTTGTATTCTGTCATCGTCTCGGCCAACAGTGTTCCGTGTCCCGGGTCGCTAGCAGCAGTGTCTCGGGTCGTCCGTAGCACGTGTCCAGCAACAGAATGCCGCCTTCAGCAGTGGCAATATATTTAAGGGTCAGTAATCAATGTTCCCTATTGGCTCTCCACGAGTGGCCTCTATGGTCAGCCGTCATGCTTCCATCCATCTTGTCCTTAGTGTGAGCTCCTGATAGCCGCCAACCGGCCGTGGGGCAGTCTCGCTTGCGCAAGCCTCCTTTGTCCTGGCCTCATGTCTGCCCTTTGAAGGTCGCTTGTAACTGCATGAACCGGTTGCCAGTAAGGTCCTTTTGTTCTGGTACCCTCAGGATTGTCTGAGTGATAACTTGCATCTGGGTCGTCCCAACACTCGTCTGGATA